TTTTTTTTTCTAGGTTATCTATCATTTTTATGATATCAGGTTGGACTATTTGTGATAGATAACCTTTATTACTAATATTAGCATAATTACACAACATTGTATTTGCGCCACCGCTTGTATCTGGCTATGAAGACTACTCATCAAATGCTGAATGCTCCTTCTGCTGGCTCCTCTCTCTCTCTCTCTTACAGCTCCTCCCACTTCTGCTGGCCTCTCCCTCTCTTTCCTATAGCTCCTCCCACTTCAGGCCCCTCTTATGTTTGCTTTTCAGTTTGAATTTTTATTCACACAAAAAAAATAGAAGATTTACTGTTATGCCAACTACTGCATTATTGAAAAAATGGTATAAATAATATCAGCGCATTTGTGAAAGCATATTAGACCCACCAGTTGACATGTATTTGACCTGTGACATGATTTGTTTACTCTTGAACATTAGCAAAAATCGAACATTTCCACTACTTTGAGCTCAATTTCAAGGTACTTTTAGTCTGTAAACCATTCAAAATCATCTCTGTTTCTGTAATATACCTTTCATTCTATCAAATGAGACAAGAAAACAAGAATACAATCATAAATACCGCTGTAAGTGTATTTTTGGGGGTCTGAAATGGATTAATCAAATTTACATTATTCCTTATGAGAAAAATTTGTTGGGTACTCGGATCAGCACTTGAACAGCTTTCTGGAACGAATTAAGTTCGAGTACTGAGGTTCCACTGTGTGTGTGTGTGTGTGTGTTGTGTGTGTGTGTGTGTGTGTGTAGTGTGTGTGTGTGTGTGTGTTGTGATTATATATATATGTATATATATATGTATATATATGTGAAAGTATTATATATGTATATATAAATGTATATATATATATATATATATAATATATATATATAAAATATATATAATAATATATATATAGATATATAATATATATAATATACAGTGACAGTGGACCCCGGTTTACGATATTATTTCATTCCAGAAGCATGTTCAGGGGCCAGTACTGACTAAATTTGTTCCATAAGGAATAATTTTGAATTAGATTAGTCCATTTCAGACCCCCAAACATACAAAAAACAAACGCACTTACATAAATACATTTACATAATGGGTCGCATTGGGGAGCTATCGCAAACCGGGGATCCACTGTGTGTGTATGTATGTATGTATATATATATAATATATATATAAAAATATATAAATATATATATATATATATATATATAATATATATATATATATAAAAATATATATATATATATATATAAAATTACCTGTGATGTTACTTCACTTTGAATATAGTAAGGTTGCTTAACCTATTATATTCAACTTGCCTGTTTTCTAAGAAGCCTACCTCTATTTAATTTTCCAAAAGTTAATGATTCTTCCAGTAATTGCACAAATGAGGAATTTACATGTGAATCGTCAAAAGAGAAAGAGGAAACTTGTGGTTATTAGGGAAGGATTGGGCAAGCGTCAGTGAAGGGGATAACTTCCTGAGCTGGTCCAATGGGAATGTTGCCGTTCAGAGGAAACAACTTCACATCCATGGCTCCCCTACGTAGGGTGGGGGCTGATGGGTCAACCTACTAGAGAATTTTAATGCAACATTAGGAGGAGTATAAAGTGAAAGAAGCATTATTTGGACTTACTTGTTACAGAGAAGATAAATTATTTCACAGGAAAATAGGCACTTCATTCCATCAAAAAATTTCTAATACAATACTAAACTATTTCCTTCTAACCTGATATGCATCAAGAGAGCTAATGATATCTTAGTAAAAAGGCTTTTTATTACTTGTGCCAGTTTGCCTGTGAACAGCTAGTTCTCTATGGTAAGACCTGCCCCCTCTACGGTGTCTACTCTGGATGTGACTATTTGTTTTTACCAAGGTCTTACAACAACGCATGGAAGTGTACGAGTTTATTTAAGAAGGCCTTATCGCTAACTTTGAGATTAAAGGTGTTTCCAAACTGCTCCTATGATATAAGTTGCTCTACTAGCATAGAGAAGCAGTATGGAAAAAGTATCTACTCTCAAAACAGCTGATAAAGACCAAGAATACTGGTAATGTAGGTAGGACGATCACTGATGGTTAACTTGATCTTCAGCCGTACAGTTCTCATGCTTAGGTTCCATACTTTGTGTAGAACAATAAAGATGTAACAAAGAATTTTGAAGCAATTTTCTTAATGTATGTAACAATGGTAACAGACTATCATTAGCTTAATGTGCTTGTCCCTTCTCCCATTATCATTAAAATTATATTAAATCTACAAACAAAAGTTTCTAAACGCCTTAAAAGCTAGGAATTATATGTCTAGGATATCGAGGTAGGGACTTAAGTCAAAGCTATACAGTCGTGTGTATTATGGCGGGAGATGCTTATCCAGAGATTTTCCTACGTACATTGAGTAATACAGTACGGTACAGTACTTGTAAATAAATGCTAAAATAGTTCCTAAAGCATGTGGTTATTTACACATTATTAATATACTCTACCTGGCTCCTCTGACTCGATCAAAACACTAGTTTAATATTTTTCGCGAGAAAAATCCATCTAATCACATTATTGCTACTACAGTATTGGATTGTATTTCTTCCTGATACCACAGCACCTGAAAGTTTGTTACTATGCCAAAAATTTTATATTCTATACAGGCAATTATGTTTTGACATACATTTAATAAGACTAATTTTCATTGTGAAACATAGCAAAATAATCCTCATCGAAATATCAGTCAAGGTCCTCATTACATGATATTTGTCTAATTTGCAGGTGGGCCGAAACAAACTAACGGTCATAAATGAGTGACCGGGTGCTCTATCATGTATAAAATGAAGGCAACAATTCTATCAATATTATTATAATTATTATTATACCCTTCTGATGTGTCTACCCAAGGCTGAGTGTACCAGAGCCACTCTGCTATAGTTGCTTCCACAGTCATCTGACAATATCCATAGCTTGTAGATAATATGAAAGTCTCCATGCTAAGTTAGTGTTACACATCTTGTGAGTTGCAGATGCTGGGGCAAGCTACAGCAAAGTACTCGGCCTCATAATTACAATGATCTAAGGCACAGTTCGAGAAAGAGCTTGTTACCAAGAATATTCTCAGTATAAGGCTCAGAAACCAGTAGAAAAGTTGGGAAGGCATATTTCGGAGCAGGCATACCAACTTAATATTAATGGCCAATTCCTGGCCAGTTCATATGGCATTGAGCTCTGGCATCATGAAGCTAGCTAACAGATACATGGTAGGGAGGCTCGTTCCTTTATATATCAGAAGTAACAATCCTTAACACTAACCAGACAGGAAAGCTTCTTCACAAGGTATACGATTTGTCTTCCAGCGCGCCATAAACTTTCTACAGCAACTGCATTTTTTGATAAATTTACACAATTACTATGCCTTTATCATACCACATTGTACAATACATTCATCATACCTGTACATTGTCAAAAGTTTAAAATAAAAATTGTTGTACTGAACTGACACGGAGCATCACAGTAAGTGGAAATTCTTTCCTGTCTTTAGAGCCCTTCAATTTGCCCTTGCATGTATCTGTCTTCGCATAAATTGCGCTGAGATGCATAAGTAATGCACATCCTCCAACCATCTTCTTAACATATGGAGGTTACATGAAATGGGAATGAACCATTTGTGTTGTGACAGGATTCTGCGTCACATTGCAACACTTTTGTGGGTGAGTTGTTTCGTGATACTTTATTTATAAATAATTATTGAAAGTCAGGCAGCAATATCTGCTGAATAATACAATGTTGTGCAAGTAAAAACAATATAATAAAAAAAATTAAAATCAATACACACAACTATCAGTATCTAAGAGTACTGCAGCATTTTAAAAGCAGAAGTATCCTCTAAAATGCAGATTTAATGACTCTGCTATAGCTCTAACAGAAGACTGAATATTATAGAAGAAATGGTCATCTACCCGCTCAACAAATATCTACAGGTTTATGGCGAATATACAAGATCACTTGTATTTACATTAAAGATGCAATATACATTCCATATCACCTTAACCTAAGTTAAAACAATTTGTACAACAGACTTCTATGACTCAACTAAGAATAGGAGGCATAAGAACCTGTGCATGATTTACTAATTATGAATATTCTTTTATTTAATTTTCAAATTCTTAATTTCACCATCCTCTATATTACTAATTACAGTCTTGTGACTGATAACGTCTTAAAAAATGTCAAATTCATCAAAAATTAAATGCAAATGCAATGCTAAATGTTTTTTTTCATAACACGTGCTCTTAACAAAGTGCCAAGCATGGAAACTCAACTAGTTCACTATGACCCTGCTTGCAGGGAGTCAGACGGCACATGACAATCACCAGCAGCCAGTGTATGAGGCAAAGTCTAGCTTTGCAACTGTAGATACCAAGTGTAGTCAGCCCTTGTAGTGATGGTGTTGCTCAGTGATGTGTTGAGAGCACATAGAACCTGCTCTATGGCACCGAGAACCTGAGGGACGTATGGCCAGCACTCTCATATAAAAGGCCTCACAACTACAACACTGCACACAGCAACACCTAACATTACTCTACATCCTACAAACTTAGCATCCAGCAGCACACTGACTGCAGTCCTTGAATTCAACACAACTAAGTATGTAATTGTATAAAATGTTTAGCACTTTTCTAATGCAATGGCCTTATAACTAAACATGTATTATTCCTTGCCTCTCAGTCACTATAAATATTAATTTTACACAAAAGCATAAGAGTTCATTTCATTGCACCATAGTAGTTTTTTATGTCAGTTGCTACATGATTCATTTCATGAAATATGGGGCTAACATTTTAACACTGAGTGGTGAGGACAACCTTGGAGCAAGCCATCAAGATACAATACTTAATCTTAAAAACATCAAGCAAATTATATTTCTGTATCTCTACATGGCTTTCCCAAATTCAACTATAATGTATTATGTTATGATGAAAGAATTTTCAATAAATAAATCTATAACTAATTCCATTCAATACAGGAAATTACAGTGCTTAAACTTAATATATACTAGGTAGCAGATTTGCCATCAAAGAAACATTTTTCACAGCATCACTTACAATCTGGAAGTGGCTATGTCAAGTTTTTCTTCCCTTTATGATCAAGAGTTGGAAAACAAGAAATCTTTCATAGATAATACAGTTTCCAGTTTAAAACTGCAACTCATCAACTATATCTTGTCATTTTAAAACTTGCCTTTTCATTTACTATTATTATCCACCACTATCTACAGTGTATGAACACTTATGCAACTCTGTGACTGAGATAAATCTCATCCATATTTCCTCCTTGTGCAGTGAATGTATCGATTACAAGAAAATGGAACTAACATAAAGGTAGACAGATTTCCTCAAATGCTTAAGTGTTCACTTATGATCCTGTCATAATAGCACCTTTTTTGAAATTTAAAGTCTTCATAGATTTTTCTTGTGAAAGTGGTCCTCTGCAAAACATCCATTCAAAGAGTTTCTTGTATCACTCTAATATGCTTCCTTAATCCCTTGATTCTATCTTCGTACATTCTTCCACAGCTCCATTCTTGAGTGTTTATTGTTCTTCTTCTGGATTGCCCCATTCTTCATGAGCCCAGTCAGGCAACTTGGTCTCAAACTGCCATCCAGGACCCTAAAATATATTTTTATGAATACAGCTTTATATACTTGTATATTTTCATAAATACGTAATTCAACAAGGTAATAAAATTTTAGAGCTTTTTTTTTTTCAAATGCCAATCTATCCAGTACACAATTCTGTCCTATGATGTATGATAAGTGTTAAAATAATTTCAAGCATTCCTGTTTTTGTACAACTCCATGCACTCCTCTATGCTCAAGTCCATTCTTGCACAACTCCATACACTCCTCCACACTGCAGTCCATCCTTGCACAACTATCAGCTTCTCCATGGCCCAATCCATCTTCCAACCTAAATAAGTGTATGGCTTCCAACTGCAGTAGACCCTCCAATAAAATGCATTTAAACATGCTTTTGTTGTAACATGCTTGAAAATTTTCTGCAAATTTGCATAACATGCCATAAAAACTTTAAAAAGGTGGCTCAGGCCTGAAGATTTTTTTGTTCAGAGATTTATATGGCCTAGGGAAAGCTGGTTACTGACTGGCTCAACACAGCAAATGCTGCAGTGTCCCTCTTAATGTCACCAGTTGATCGGTCCACAGCCATCAGCTGTCTACTGCTCATTAGTTATGTAACCGTCTCCACAAACCATCAACAAACAGGAAGAGAGCAAGGAAATTAATGTAGGATATAATTTTTTCTTGTCACTATTATGAGTGGTTTCAGCTAATGAAACAGATGAATCATAGGTGTCTACTGTTCACCTGAGCTTCATAATCATTTCTAAACATATGCATTTACAAAGATATTAAGGTAGGGTAAAATTATTTCTTGCTACATTTTTTGTATATTTTATACTGATAAGATTGTGTATTAAATATATAGTAGTAACTGGCAGTGTAATAACCTTCTACTTTTTCTGTGAATGGAATAGATGGTATACTGTATCAAACACCAGCTTTCCCAAGGCCTCATTATGTACTAACTAATTTTTATTTAGGATTTGGATACTATACATAAAACAAAAGCTTGTTCTGCATGTTGTCTTCACATTCATGTTGGCAGCATGCTTGTACATGCAGGTAGTAAACTTACAGCATATTTAAGAGCATGAAGGTACATCACCAGGTCCCGTGGCTTGGGGTCACGGTACCTCACTTTGCATTCATAACAGTGCTCATCAATTGTCATGAGGCATGCCTGGTAACCGTACTCCTTAGTGCCATCACTTGTCTGAGTTGCTGATGATACAACAATGCTTCCTAATTCATTTCCTGGTAGTCCATTGTTACATCCTGAAACGTGATATTATTACACAGCGTGGAACACGAGTAGAACCACTGGAAAGATTTCATGTTTTAAACTTTAAACGAAAAGTTTCTTTCTGAAGGTACAACATAGTTAAAAAGCTTGAAGTCTATCTATATTTGATGCCTTGTTTCTTCCCAGTATTGCTTGTGTAGATCTACGTTATAAGCACAGTGCCCTTGAATGTGCTGTGAGCAGTAAATTTTGGCCTAGATATGAGAGAATAGGTCTGTGTGGTGGGTGTGCACAGCATAAAAAATTCTGCCCCATGTAGTGCATGATGGAAAAAGCAAACCTCTGATCTTGAATGTATTTAATTTAAATTTAGAGACTGAGTTGTTTTCTAGGGTAGTTTTCATGATTTTACTGGCTGTTTTTTGGTATCATTTGATAGACTTAAGGACACTTTTGAAATAAGGAGATTATTTTGGTCGGTTTCTGACCATAAGTGTAGCTTAAAACAGGCCACAGAGTGGCAGAAATAATAATTTTTTTTTTCAGGCCTCTGCCCTGGTCTGTTTTATGGGTTTTTACTAGATCTACTTCAGTTATTTTTGGTTATATTTTATTAATCCAAGAAATAGGGTAAAACTTTAAATTTTTTGTGTATGATAGATTCAAAATGGATAGCAAATGTTATAAAGGAGAGGCCTAAAGCCAGCATTAATGAACAGTGGAAAGATTAGTGGCTAGAATGCCTAGTGTTTATTTTTAAATTGGAAGTTGTTGAATTTTGTGTAAAACTGACCAAATTATTGACTTGCATGCACTTCATAGGGTAGTTCTGATAGTTGAAGGGGCAGTTTCTTGTGGTCACTCAATGGAATGGATAACATACAAGCAAAATAGCTAGAAACTGGGTTGCAAGCAGTGGAACCGATTTAAAACAGGACACAGTGGGTGACATTCCCTATGTATATATTGCACCTAGACTGCCACCTTTGTGCCTGTGCAATTCCACGAGTTTTCCATCAAGTTTTACATTTTTGGCGACACTACCTTGAGAAACAGATTCTACAGAAAATATTTTTTTTTTTTTTTTGAAGAATCCTGACAGTCAGCACTTTTAAGTTTGGGAGGTGAGACAGTGAAAAGGCTAAATTAATATTTAATCTCATAAGTGATGCATGGCATAAATGATGAAACACAAAAGAAGTTTAAGATAGACGCAAAGTAGTGGGTTTCATAGGAAGTTTTATTTTATACTAAAATGTTCTCAAAACAGGTTAAAATTAAAAGATTTATTTAATTATAAAATTGGATAGCCTTTAGATTTCAAAAAACAATTTTTCCTATAAAAATGGTATTAATGACAGTGTTTTGTCTGAATATACAGTATTATTATACCTGCTTTCTCAACACTTTTTGAAAACAAATTCCAGGTTTGCACCTCACCATTGAGTGTCTTTGGAGGTGCAGCTTCTGCCCCAACCATTGATGGCTGCATCTCCACCGCTGAGAGACCAATGGCCTTTGGTGACTGGTAACCAGTAGGAGCGATGAGGGCTGGGGGGGAAGTTACACGGGGAGAGTTGTTGGACACTGGGGATTTCTCTTTAGGGCTCGGAGTATTACGCTGTGATCCTACTGTGATAAATGAGACTTTTGTATTTATATCATAAATATGATAGTCAAAGAATTTTAGTATAGCTATAGAGCTTTGATAATTTAACTATAGAGTTTTCTCACTACAGTAAAATGTGAATTTAAGTGCGTGTATTCAATATATTGTAATGCATTTGCTAGGATATGTACATATATACTTGTACTAGTATAACAAAAAGCTTAAAATTGGTCCTGACCTTGAACATATAAAGCACAAGGTGATTTTTTAAGATTTTTTTGTGGGTTGGGAAAAAAAGCATGCCTTATATATATGTATGTTGGAAAATATGGTAACTTGGGAAAGATCCTGGTGAACAAAACGTAGCTTCAATAAATGTCCTATCAATTGGACCCATTTATTTATTTAATATAATGTTGATAATTTTATTAAATAATGTTATTTTTACAGTACTTTGTTGCAATCTTTTGGTGCTCTCTTAATAATGTTTTATTATAGGAAAGGCATATCATGTAGTCAAGTACAGCCCAGATTCGTGTATAGGGCAACCCCTGAGTTTTTGTTAAAAAATATTTGTGTTTTCATGTATCACACAAGTCTACCCTACTAAGTGTATCTAAGAGAATATGAGCTAAAATATGAGTACCAGTAATATTAAATAATCAGATATGAAAAGAAAAGAGAGGATAAGTACATAAATTCAAGAATTATGTGGATTAAAATCAAGATGGGATATTAAAAGTGGGTTATAGCAAGTGTTTTTGCACCTGGGAGTGAGAGAAGTATAGAAGGAATAAAGATTTTGGGAGATGTTAAATGAATGAATGTTTAGGAAGTTTTGAGTCAAATGAGAGAATAATTGTTGTCAACACCTAAGTACATGTATACTAAATTAGGTGAATTTGTTGTAGATGGTGTAAGTTTGGAGTGCCAGGGGTATATGGAAATAGAGGCCCTTAATTGAATTATGTATAGAAAGGGGTTTAGTAATTGGCAATACTTGTTTGGAGAAAAAAAGAGGATAAATAAGCATATGACCTATGATATAGGACAAATGATATTAGTTTGTTAGACTAGATGACAGGTTAATGGTCAGAACTCTAGATGTTCATGACTATTATGGGTTTAGCACTTCACATGTCTATAAAAATATTCTTTCATCTTCTGGCATTTCTTTCAACTCAACATTTAAAATACAGTAATGTATATTAATGTTGTAATTGGGAATAAAATTTATGAAGAGCGAATGTTAGTTAACCTTCCTCTTCGTTGTCTGTCTTCTCGCGTCCCTTGAACATGGAATATTCAGCATCACCGTCCATTCCTAGCCAGTTTTCAGCATTGTGAATCTTGATAAGGTCTTGAATCAGCTGTTCATCAGTCTTACCAATTATGCCACCCTTTGCTTTATTGGGCCCAAATACTGTGTGGTTGTACAAAGGGTCGTTGACAATTGGGTAACCTGTTACATCAAGAAAAATTTAAAAATACCATCTGAAATATGAAGAAGCTATTTCTAATCTCTATTAGCAAAATAATCCATAAATTTTATTACTATTAATATGATAGGAAGAAACAAAATAAGCTTTGTAATACAAATGCAAATGATACATTAAATTAATGTAAAGTATATGATCCATGTGGGTTTGGCACATTATGAAAATAGCACTGCACTGCTACATTAAATCATTTACCCAAGTATTGAAGGTGGACACGAATCTGGTGCATACGGCCGGTGTGGGGGCGGCACAGCACTACTGATGTCTTGCCATTAAAGGAGAGGCGTTGGAACTCTGTGCGGCAATCCTTCCCAGTGGGGGAAACTTTGCATACACCAATTTTGTAGCTCACCACTTCTATGGGTTCATTGCATTCAACATGTTCCCTAGTGAAAGAGTGAGGTTAGTGACTTGACAGTAAAATTACTGTATGCATTGCATTCTGTGGACAAGGAAGTAAATGAAAACTCAATTATAAAATCTAGGTGTAGCTATGAGTCAAGAAAGGGGAGGGGCAGAGGTGTGTGAATTAGGTATAAATTTCCCAATTAAACCCTAGTTTTCTTGTGCCAGTACTAAGTGAAACATTGTGGTGTCACTAATTATGGATGCTACAGTTCATAGAAAAAAAGATAGCACTATGGAGTCTAGTCATGCCTGTAACTTCGGTGTCCTTCTTAACCAACAAATAATTTATATTTTACCACATCAGTTGTTTACCACCAAGGTAGGATGACCCAAAGCAGGAAGCACATTTACTATCACTCATTCAATAACTACTTTGCCAGAAGTGTATGAACATCAAATTTTCAATGACTCTCCCAGCTGCAGCATCCCTGTCCATCCTGTACTGTGCAGCCACTGTTCTTCCCAAACGTTAATAGGCAGCATAATCTAAAATTTTGAAACATGAAAAGCTGTTTTCCGTGGAGGGTTCCATGAGCCACTCTAGGAATAACAGCCTATAAGTAAAGCTCTTATTACAGTCAATCCTCACTTAATGACTGAGTTCTGTTCCTAAGATCATGTTGGTAAACAAATTCGTCGCTAAGTGAGGAGCATACTATAATGGTTGTGGGTTTGTGTCAACCATCTTTGATATTTTTTAATGCCACTTTTGCACCATTTATAACATTTTTAGTATATTTTTAAATGTTTATATAGTAGTGTACTGTATACTGTAATAAACAGAATAGAGGAAGTCAGCTTTAATATACATTATTTAGGTATGCATACTGGTCAGAGAGCCTGTCGTAAGTCTGAGTCGTTAGTAAACAAGTATGTACATCACTAAGTGAGGAGAGGCTGTATACCAGTAATAGAGACTAACCATTTTTCACCCAGTTAATTTTCTGTTGTCTCTGTCCTTCATACCTGTGCTGTAGTAGCTGTATGGTTCTAATTGCTAACTGTTAAAGCCATTAAAAGGAAGAGCTGATAAGGAGAAGGTGGTAGGCACAGTTTATGAAACTAGAAAAAGTTTTTGTAATGCAAAATGTTGGAGGCTCGTCAGTACTGTCCTGGCCCAGCAAGCCTCCAACATTTTGCATTACAAAAAACTTTGTATGTTGTATTCAGTGTTCAAGCCACATGGACTACAATAAAAATCCTACCACCAATGGCAGATTTTATGGAGGAGTCAGATTTTTTATACAGTGGTGCCTCAAGTTTCAAACACCTCCCAACTCGAGCAGTTATGTAAATGTATTTTTGTAAGTGCTTTTGTAAGTGTATTTTTGGGGGTCTGAAATGGACTAATCTAATTTACATTATTTCTTATGTAAACAGACTCTTTTGGTAATGGCATGCAAACAGCCTTCTGAAACAAATTATGGCTGAAACTCGAGGTACCACTGTATACTGGAAGGTGAGAAACCCAAACAACCATAACACTGAGATCAAAAATTCATGATCTGTGTTCTAGGTGAGTTTTTAAAACCAAATTGCTAGAAAAGGTCACAGATGAGGATACAAGTAAAGGATCTCTTAGTAAAAGCTCCAGACTAAGCCCTGCCTCCTACATTAAACTCCAATGTAACCAGAAGCTGCAGCTTAGCTAGGTCAATTAGCACTTCAGTGCTACTTCTCCAAGTTTCTCCTGCCCTGGATGTCTCAATTACTGCTGTGCCATGCCTTCAATCCCATGATAATTTTATTAAGTACTGTTCTACCCAACATCTACCGGTATTGGCTGGCCCAGCAGCTCTATTACAGTGCTAGATTATCCTCACCTACTACAATTGGATACACATGCACACCCTGCAAGTGTCAAGCATTCAACTTCAACCACTGATCCACTAGCAGCACCAATAATGCTGACACTAGCAACCAAGTTTTGTTTGCATGAATGGTAGAGGCTCTGCTCATCATAACTATTATATCTATGTTCTGGTTGCATTCATAATAAATAAACCATACCCCCGGCCGGGATTGAACCCGCGGTCATAGAGTCTCAAAACTCCAGCCCGTCGCGTTAGCCACTAGACCAGCTAGCCACAATAAGATTCTTCCAACTAGGTATATTTCATAATAAATATTTTCCCTTTCCATGCCCTAGAATACATGAAAGAGCAGTGATATGAAAACAAAATGTTCCTATAATATGTATAATATAATAACACCATTTTTATTTTTACTGCCAATTTTTTTTCTCACCTTGGAAATTCTCCTTCCACACGGCAGACATATTCTTTTGTCACCTGTCGTGTGCGAATCTGTTGTTCCATCTCACGGGCCTTTTTGGGTGTCCGTCCGAACAGCAATAGGCCTGGGGGACACTTGTACATTTAGTTAACATGCATCACCATTTTAGCTCCTAAAGTAAGATGTCTTCACACCTTAGGCAGTTTTAGCACCAGCACACAGACTTAATGATCAGGCTTATTTAGAGCAATTAGGAAGTGATATTATTAGTATAATTCTGATAATATTTAGTATCCCATTTATGAACAAAGAAATGATGGCTATTACTGTACTTAAAAATTCTCATAAATAATTTTGAATACATACCAGAAGCCAAAGAATCATTTTTCAGTCTACTGCATATGCAAATATTAGAAAATATTAATGATTTTCCCAATAAATTCCAGGAGAGACTACTTATTTTATCAGAATTAAAACAATTACATAATATGTTTTAAGTGATGTTTAGGCATTCCATTGTATATTGGAATTAAAGTAGCTTCCAAATTTATCCATAACTTTGATGACATGTGTTTAAAAATTATTTAGCAAGACACTGCAGGTGTACAGTATTAGTACTTTTTTTCTGTATAAAAATAAAAATATAACATTATGTGACCATCAGTATTATAAGTACAATGACTATGCACTGTACAGTATTAGGCAGAAATACCTTTGATATGTTTTTGATAGGTTTCAAGAGTTTTCTTACTCCTAGTGCTTGCCTGGTCAACCAGGCTGTTGCTGATGGCGGTCCACTGACCCACACATCCATGACAGCCTGGTTGAGCCAGCACTTGATGAAGATACTTGTCAAGTTTTCCCTTGAAGACTTCTGGTTATATATACTACATTTGTAAATGGATGATGGTCGCATTAATTTATAACATATTCACGTGGCTTACCTGGTGATGGCTCTGGAGATCATCACTCCTTTAGCCAGCCTCAGAACAGGCTTCTTGGTTGATACAATGGCTGTTGGACTGTTGGTGCAAGCACCAACAGTCCAACAGCCATCCAACAGTCTGACTGTTCAGGAATAATACTGAAAAATTTGCTAAGTTCCCTTATAAAGACAGAGGCCTGTTGGTTCTTTTTCCTTATATCTGAAGTGCATTGAAAAACTTTGCATGATCAACAAATTACATTCATTGAGCCCATTTTACCTCTTCAAGGGGGGCTCCTTGGCGTGGTGAAGAGGCTCTTGGTCTGAGGAATTAGACCTGTCGGTCTCCTTCCTCAGACCGAACCTAATTACCCCCCAATCCCCCCTTCCCTATCCCATCCTTCCCTTTTCCTTTCCTCCTCCTCCTCCCCACCCCTCCCTTTTGCCCTTCCTCCTCCTCCTCCCCACCCCTCCCTTTTGCCCTTCCTCTTTTTGGCCTTTGGGATTTTTCCCACAGGCACACTAGTTCATAGGTAAGGGGAAGGGTACCTGGGTCCATCCCATTCCGTTGAGGTTCTTGGCGGTGGCGTAGTTTGCCGTGGGATCTGGATCGCCTGGGGATGTCCCGATCCCTCTCCGGTATCCCGGAGGGTGGCTTTGGGTGTCTTTTGGGCGATGGGTATATCTCTGGAAGCCACCTTTCGGATTCCGGGGGTGGTGGCCGAAGGAGGTATGCTTTGTGGTGGATATCCGACCGTCCTCTCTTTTGTCCACCGAGGTAGCTCGGCAGATGTGAGGTTGCTAGCCCAGATTGCTGGTTTACTGGCATGAAGGGTAGGGTATGGCACGGGTTCCATGCTGCATCTGTGCTACTTGCGGTGCTGAGGTCCTCTTGGGCGCGGAGGGAGATTTCTGGCCGTTTCATTCCTCCTAGGAACTATTCCTCCCCGGTGCCCCCTTTTTTTATTCTTTTTTTTATTTTTATTTTCTTTCTTTTTTTTCTTAAAAACAAAAAGAAAGAAGTAACCTAGCCATGGAGTCCCAAATCCATGACCCCACTACCCCCGGGCCCCTTATTGTTACCACACCCTGTTCTGACCTCGCCTCGTCTTTTGGCCACTCTTTGGACACTCCTAAGGCCCCTGTACCTCTTGCTGGTGCTGTTTCCTCACCCGCTTCAGGTACCGGGGCTTCCACTGACTCCTTCTATTTGTCTGACCTCCGCTCTCCTTTGACTATGCTTCCAGCCTCTCCCTCTATGGTGCGACGATTTTCGAATCGCCAGCCCATCTCACATTGGACCGACTCTGGTCCCACTTCTAAACGCCAACGACAATCTCCTGATAATGTTACTTCGTTACCTTCCCATTCTACTCGGAAAAGACCGACACATCATGCACTCCCTCTCCACACTCAGTTTCAGACCACACAATGGACTAATTTCTTTACTTTACAACCGACTTCTTCTACTGCCTATCTTTCTGACCATAGTACAGTGGACCCCCGGTTAACGATTTTAATCCGTGCAAGAGGGCTCATCGTTATGCGAAATAATCGTTATGCGAATGAATTTTCCCCATAAGAAATAATGGAAATAAAATTAATCCTGCAAACCCCAAAAAAGTAGAAAAAAATTTTTTTTTCCCACATGAAATTTTAAAATTTTAATAACACAAACTGAAAAAGGAATGCAAAATTTAAATACACTTACTTTTATTAAACTGGGATGTTTTGATGGGATGGGGGGAGGGGAGAAGGTGTTAGTGTTTAGAAGGGGAACCCCCCTTCCATTGGGGACTTGAGGTAGAAATCCTTTTCGGGGGTTATTCCCTTCTTTTTTTAATCCATAGGGCCATTTCAAGTCAGGGGGACTTTTTTCGCCAAGATATCTGTCCATAGGGCCTGTACCTCTCTTCCTTTAGACTTCCCTAAAGTTTTTCAAACATTGTCAGGGTAATAACACCCACACGGCTTGCAAACTGGTGGGGTGATTTTCCATCCATGAAGGTTTGCCTTAAAGCCACTTAGCACGATTTCCTTTATCTTTTTGTATAGGCAACTTTTTCAATTTCTCTCTCCCCCCTCGAACCAGTTTCCTCGGGTCGGGGGCCCCCTTGCCTTGAATTTGATCTATCAGCTCATCGTGGTTTTTTTCATTGTCCTCCCCCACCAACTCTTCCACATCCCCCCCATAACCCCCAAACCCCAAGGATTTTCCCCCAAGCCACAATGGATTCCTCAACTGGCACAGGATTCTAGGGTTAGCCTAAACCCCTTAAAAAACCCTTTTGTCTACCATTCTGGCCACAGTTTCTTCCAAGCAGAGTTAAAGGTCCTCTTAGTCACTTCCCCCCAACCTTACCTATAAGGTTTAAAAAATTGGGGGTATTAAATGACTCCCCAAAACCTCTTGATCAGTTAGTTTTGAGGTCATTACAAAGCCCCTTTCAAACAGAGCTTTTGTGTACGTTTCTTGAATTTGGGAAAAAAACCCTGCTGGTCCAGGGGCTGCAAGGGGAGTGGTATTAGGAGGAAAAAAATTTTCACCCTAATGAAGCTCTGCCCCCCAAAAGTCGCTCTGCCAGTCGTAGGATGACCAGGGCATTGTCTAACACCGGGAGACTTAAGTTCTAATTCTTTTCAGTTGGGTTTTTTTTTCACATTGGGGGCAAATGCATGGTGTAACCATTATAGAAAAATTCCCTAGTGCCCCATGCCTTACTGTTTGCCCCACGCACACACAAATTCCCTTGAGGAATTCTTTTTTGCCTGAACGCTCGGGGGTTTTTCAGAGTGATAAAAATTTAAAGGCTTCATTTTTGCAATCCCCATAGCATTGGCACACATAAAAAAAGTAACCCTGCTTTCTGGGGCTTTTTCCCCGGGGAGTCCCTTTTTCCCCGGTAATGGGTCCTCTTGGATTTTCTTCCAGAACAGGCCTTTTCATCAAAATTTAAAAACACTTGTTCGGGTTTTATCCTTCGTTTCTTTACTCCTGAATTCCTGCACATTTTTTCACCGCTTTGGTCCGAACTGGCAGCCTCACCTGCCTATCCCCCTAGGATCCCACACGCTTTTTAAAATTTCCCCCAAAACCACCTTTGCTGGGCCCTTAAATTCACTCACATCACCTATTGCAGGGATTTTTTTAATTAAATTCCTCATGCAACTTCCCAGCCTTTTCACATATGACCTTGAGAGATGCATCTCCTGCTATCTGTTTTTTCATTTATCCCCACCCAAAAAAGTCCCCTCAAAAATCTTCCCACTTGCATCTTTTTTTTTCGAAAAACATTGAAAAACCTTTGCAAGAACGCTTCCTTGATTGTCTTTTTGGTGCCACAATAGACATGGGGATTTTGGGTTTTTGTACAGCTTGACTAGGGGCCTAACCACTCCACTTTCTACTTATCAAACTTTTCTTTAACTCTATAGAATTTTTACCCTTTGAGGTGTAGGGTTGGCACTAGAAGCTTTCTTGGGGGCCCCTGGTCACTTATTTTCCCCGAAACACACCGAAAAATACTGTAAAAATACGAAATATTTCCCAGTGACTTGGATGTTACCGCGAGGCTGGCTGGTAAACAAGGGGCGGGGGGGCACATGGAGGTGGCTGAGGGCCAGGGGCGCGTCTCGGGCGAAAACGGGAAGCGGGTTTTTTAAATTTTGTATGCGCGGGAAAAATTTTGCGAAAAAGTAAACGTTACGGAAAAAAACGCTATGTGAAGCCCTCGTATGCGGGGGTCCACTGTATTGGCAAAGGCTCCACCCAGTTTGGGAGAGATATTTTTTTTTCATGCCTTAAAAAAGGGCACGCGCATCATCACAGTCCAGAATTCTACCCAAAATCAGATCTTTATCTTCTTTTAATATCAAACATTCCATCACTATCGAAAAAATCATTCCCCAATTCTTGTAGGGTACTGTTATTTTGGGGCCCCTACCGATCCAACAGAATTTCCGACATGTGGCAATGACATTTCGAACACTGGAACTCCAAGATCCCCAATTCTCAAAGGGAGACATTATGTTCTTTCCCCCCCGCGGGCGAAGAGAACCCTTGCAATTGGCTCTTTAAATTTTGACAGCCGTGAAATCCCCCTCCTCGTTTTGTACAGGGCATCGGTTTCAAATTCGGAAGGGGATCCCTACACCGCAAAAAGTAGGAATTGCTGGGGATTTGGCCACCCACAAAATAT